AAAAAAAAGGTGTATGCATGCACAGAAATAGCCAGACCTATGCAAACAAGAGTACAAGACGAACCCTGATATATGAACCCAATTTGATATAAGTTTTGCTCAATGAGCAAAAATTAATCTGGTTACATTATGGATTAAGACTGCAAAGATTTGGGCTCACTGAGGTAGAAGCTGTCTTATTACTACTCTACGTAACTACATACGGTGGTGTCGAATCAGACTGACCTGCACTAACGTGGTGTAAGTAACTAGGTCTGGTGAAACATCAAGCCCTTCCTTCAGTGCTTTATCCTGCAACAAACAACAGTAATTGTTTAAGAAACTGACTGTTCTACTTTGTTAAATATAATACATTATGAGGCTCTAAACTAGCCTTTCAGACACGTGCATGAGACCTTCATTTGCTCAAAAAATCGCATTGCTGCCACTAGGTTCTCACTCTTGATGCATGCAAAAATAAGGGTATTGTAGCTGAGCCTATCAGGGTTCAGTCCATGTCTCAGTATTTCATCATGTACACCCAATGCTGAATGAGGACTACCGGAGGCTATATATCCCTGAAAAACGAAAATGCATGTCATTCAATTTGCCAGATTGTAGTTCTCAAGGGAAAAACATAGAAACTGTTGGTAACAGAAGAAAGAAAAAGAAACATACAACTCCACCAAATCTCTGATATGAACATTAAATTTGGAAAATTACCTTCATTAATAAGTTAAAAATCAAAATTGATGATTTTCCACCTTGAAGAACATAACCATATCTTGCAAGGAGTCCATTAGCACGTCTAAGGTCCCCTGCACTAAATTGTCGGGTACAGAGAATCAATCTTAGCAAAATCAATGTAAAAAAGTAACCAGAGACAAATATAATCTTTAATAAAGCGGAGGGAATGGCATTTTCGCTTAACAAAAAGAACACTGCAATTAAGCAAGCAACTAGGACAGAAAGAACAATACTGAGAGGAAAACCTAACCTGATTCAATTAATGCGTTCAAAAGACCACAAATTAGTGATCCAGAAAGCTTTGGGCCACCAACTGCAGTACCTTTCTCGACAGTCTCGAGCACTTGAAATGCTTCATCTATTCTCCGAGCATCACCCAAACCCTTCCATGAAAGAAATATAGCTATCAATCATGTTCTATGCTATTCAACAGGTGAAAACGCCCATCTCTCAATGAGAATGTCGACAATTGCAACAAGGTCGGTAAGCATTCAGCTACTGGGCAAATAAACAGCTCACAAACATGTATAATGTCTAACAATGAAGCTCTGAGTACCTTCAAAAGCGTACTATAGGTAACTACATCAACCCCACAGCCATCAGGCTTCGACATTTCGTCGAACACCCGAAGAGCCGATTCAATGTCGCGGCAATGAACGCAAGCTTCCAGAACGGCGTTCATGACGATTATGTTGAGCTTGCTATATTCCTTCTTCGCGGTCTGTATTTCCTCAAATATCTAAAGCCCCCAACAGAGACCCCAAAAAACAAATA